TGACAAGTGTAAAGGAACCATTAGCTGTGGAAATAAGTTTTTTTTTGGAAAGGGTATAAGAGATAAGATTTGTCTATAATCAAATGTCATATGATATGTGGCCCCACAATCAATTATCCACGTACTATTAGAAACAATTACAGTTGAATTTAAAGTTTTACCACCATTACCTCTTGTTACTACCAAAGTTGATGATTTTCCAACAACATCTTCTTGATGAATTTTTGTTTCTATAACTACAACAACAAAAGTTTTGGTTGAATGCCTCTTTCGTGGATCCTATTTATGGTGCCACCATTTTGGGTATCCCACAAGTTCAAAAAAATTATTCTTTGTATGAGCAAACTGATCATAATGAGTACACTTATTAATGGTATATTTGGGTGGAACTGTCAAGGTCTTGGAACAATTATTCCTCAATTGTGCTTGTTGTTTTTTAGATGACCCATTTTGATTGGATCTATTATTGCCTATCATGGCTAAAGCTGTGACTTTTTGAAGTTCTCCATTCATCGTTGTTTGTCAAATGAACTCATAGTGAACCATTAAGTAACATTCTTTTGATTTTGGGACAAGGTCCTTTCTTAGGATTTCACCACGAATCTATTCAAACTCACCATCTAAACAGACAAGAAAAATATACACCCTTTGTCATTAAATAAACTTCTGATAAGTTGTAACGTCTTTCTCACATTCAATAATTACCTTTTCTCGATGATTCAGTTCACTAAAAATTTCAATTAATTCTTCATAATAGATAGAAAGTGATTTACCATTTTGTTTGGCAAAGAAAGCTCTCTAATGCAATATGAAAACTTATAATTCATCTGCTTCAACATAAAAGACTTTTGATAGAGCTCCCCAAGTGCATCTTGCTGAAAAGGAAATGCTCTCACTTGTTTGTGATAATGTACATCCATCCACTAAAATGGAAGATGGATACAAAAAGTGATATACCAATAATTAAAAAGTTAAAAAGTGGTTGTTAATGTCTATGTCTCCAGACATTATGAAGCAATATATATGCCTTAAAATTGCTCTAATATCAAGTGTTAAGTCTCAATTATACTTATTTTTGGACAAGACTTAATGAGAAATTCCACTCATTCTTTGAACCACTACAATATAATTGTTCTTTTTTTGATCTATTTTTGTGTGCAGATATAACTAACCCATAATTTAGCTAACAATACCCTAATACACCTCATTTTTTGTGCAAGTATTAAGCTAGAGAATTGAGGATTGAAGACCTTAGGATTGGAAACCTAAGGAGCTAAGGAGCAGAGAAGAGTGACTGCGCTGGGCGCAAGATGACCCGCGCCGGGCTTGATAAGAACAGAGTGCCTCATCTTCGCAAGCCATATGTGCGCCGGGCGCGAGACTACACGCGCCGGGCGTGATCGCGACAGAGAGTAACTCAAACTCTCTGGAAGACATTGCGCCGGGCGTAAAAGGAAATTGCGCCGGGCGTGTCCTGAGGCAGATAGTGCTCAACTTCTCTGGAAGGCCCTGCGCCGGGCGCAAAGACTTATGCATCCGGTGCGTAACCTTAATCTGACTCCCCAAGCTCATATTTGAAGACATTTTCGAGGGCTTCTTCCTCATTCACACATTGGGCGCGTTTTAGGAGCTGTGGAAGGGATTCCCGGAGCTTGGAGCCGTTCGTGTGTGGGTCTTTCCTTCGGTTCTTCATTCTCTCTTCATCTCTATTTTGTGTTTACCCTCATTGTTGAGTGGTTCTACCCATTGTTTGTGGGGTTAGATGTAACCAACGAATTCTATTGTAATCCTTACGTTTTTATGATATATATATATATATATATATTGTTTCATTCATTGTTGTGTATGTTTCTATTCTTAATGCTTGCTTTGGATTGATTCTCCTTGCATGATATAGGTTCCATTGGGTATTGGAAAATAACCTTTGAAACTAGCCCTGAAACAAATGCCTAGTGGAAAATGTATCTAGGAATGGAGCTTGGCCCATTAGTAGTCTTAAACCCTAGCCCGTAATGCGGGTGTAAATATTGGGTACTCAAGGAATTGATATTCAATATCCGCACTTAGGCTCTTGCTCTAAGGGATTAGGTTTGAGTAAACTTATGGGTTGACTAAGCAATGTATGTAACAAGAGATTAAGGATTCATTAGTTTGACGTTTGGTGAAATTTGACCCCACAATCTCACAAAACCATAATACCATTTCTACCCTTTTTCCACACTAAAACCATTATTTTTATAGTTAACATTCCAGTAGTTATACTCTTCAATTAATCTTCACATGACAAATTACAAAATTGGAATTATTCTTTAGTCACTAATATTCAATAAATGCTTATATTACCTTCTAATCCCTGTGGATACGATATTTTTACTACTTGAACGGCCGGTATACTTGCCGTGTTTGTGACCGTTGATAGAACAAAAAATGATTTAAAGTGATAACAAAAGTAGTTTTAACGGTAATCTCAACATCAAGTCAAAGTTTAAGAATAATATTTTCATATATATTATTACTATACGAAATTATGCATGAAATATACAATCATCACTGAGGAAATAATATTTCTTTGTATGTGCATTTTTTATCTCTATATCTATGTATTTATCTAAATCATTGAGCTTCCTTATATAAGTGTTTCAAAGGAGATGAATGTTGCAAATCCTTAATCTTCTCTTACATGGATTGTTTTGTATATCTTTAAGTTTTGTTTATTGAGGAGATAAGTGTTTTTCGGTGTAATAAATGTTTGCATTAAATAATTTTATCAAATTGTCATTTCTTATCTAATCAGATAAATTATTTGTCGCCTTTTAGATACCAAACGGGTAGAACCATACATGTTTCAGGTTGGAGGAGTATTGAAACAACTTTAATTGCAACTTTTGTATTTGTAGGGGTCTACTTGTCCTTTTTTTTATGCAAAACATGTATTTCTTTTCTATTTGTGAAGTGTAGGTACTAAGAAAACATTTTTGAATTCGATCTATTATAGAAACATTCAAACATAGTCATTTTTCTTTTTAGATATCATAAATGATAAAAATTTAATGCATAAATCTCCTTATAAATAAAGTTTCATGAGTTAACAAGAGTAAGAAGATCATCTTAGTACAACTTTTGTCTAATAAAAAATTGGTCTCATTGAAAAGTCGCATCTTAGTAAGAAATTATCTTATTAAAAGATTCGCTTTAGTCATTTCAAAAAATTTTGATTAATAAAAAATATTTTTATTTATTAATAATAAATCTTTAAAATGAGACAAATTTAAAATTATCTTTTAATTTAACAATAATCAATATTCATAAGTTGTTGTAAGAAATAAGAAAAAAAATTTATTAAAAAATATATTTGCACATTTTCTTGTATAATTTCATTTTAGTTTTGATGACATTATTTATAATAACAATCATTGAGTCTCACATTCAATTTTTAGGAAGGAGAATAAAGGATTGAAGGAGAATAAAACTCCCTTATATAATTTTAACTTATTTTTAATATTGAGCGGATTTAAAAAAAAGAGAAAATTTAAAATACTTTTAATATGATGTCTAAAATATTCTTGTGCACGCATTTACAAAAACTTATAAATATAAAACAAAACTTCGTGCTAATTTTATCGGAAAGAAACTAACGTAACAATTCCAGAGGATAAACAAACATCATATGAAATCTGATAGGCAATATAAAATCTAATCCTCACATGAGATTTTAAATTCAAAAGGAAAAAAATACAATAAATAGACATCTTAAAGTAAAATAAAAAATAAATACTTCTTTTGAAATACTTCAGTCTACATGCATGTAAAACACATAAATATATGTAGATGAATAAAAATAATAATACATTTTATTTATTATAAACATAAGTTAATTAGTTTTTAAATTTAAAATTACAAGAGTATAAAGATAATTTAGTTTTTTAAAATATCTTTCTTAATAAGGAAAAAAGAAACTTTATCCCTTACACTCCCTTAAAATATCTCATTTTTTTTTTTCATATTTTAACTAAATAAAATTTCTAATTTTTTCTCTCTCTTTCTTTTCCTCTTTTAAGCCAAACAAAATCTTTATGTATTTTCTTTTCATTATTGTACATTCAGACAATTGCAATCAATAAAACAATGTTTTCTTTCTCTTCTCTTTTAAAAAATTATCTCATTAAAAATAAAAATAAAAATAGGTAAAAAATGTTCACACTGTAATAGTAAGAGTTAAAACTAAGTTCCAAAGATTTTTTTTTCTTCAATTTATTTTCTTTAAATCATAGTATACTAGTATGTAGGGGTAGTTGAGACAAATTTATTTGTCTAACTTAACTAAAAACTTTAACCAAACCATTAATTTGAGTTCATACTTAACTTAATCAAAACTTGATAGAATTTGGTTAATCCGACGTTTTAACATAATATATTAATATTAATATTATGTATATTTAAATTATTAAATAAAAGAAATATAAAATTAAATTAACTTATATTTAAAAACAATATTATTTATATTTATCAATATAATTAATAAAGATGATTCCTTTTTAAGTACATACATTTTGTTTGGACTATTTTATTCGTTCTATTATAATTAACCATTTTCTCTCAAAAAAATTTATATCTTATTTAAATAAAATACCTAAAAACATGGAAAGATATACCAATTAACCACTTTCTCTCCACTGTTTTCTCTCAATTTTTTCATATATTTTATTTAATTAAAATACGTAGAAGCATGGAAAGATTACCAATTAGCCACTTTCTCTCAACTATTTTCTCTCAATTTTTTTTTACATTTTATTTAAATAAAATACTTAAAAACATGAAAAGATATATCAATTAACCACTTTCTCTCATTCTTTTTTATATTTTATGTAAATAAAATACGCAGAGACATGGTATTTTTTATCCCTGCTAATCATCACAAATACAATAGCCTGATATACAAAATATTATCTATTAAATAATATTTTTATTAATACATAATTATTCAAAAGTTACTTTTAGAAGAATGTAAGAGATGAAATCAAATTGAGATATCCGAAATTCCGAATAACTGGATTTCCTCGTAAGTGGAACAAGACGGTTCTTGCTCACCGCTACTGATACGTGGCTTTTGCTTCAAACATAGATAAGTGTATATAAGTGCACAGGATCCAACCTGGTACAATTTGTTCCCTATCTTTGAAGAACCATTACCATGGAGTTTCACTTTCATCTAAAGTTCAACCATCTTTTGTGCTTATTCATCCTTATCCTTTCATCAGTCCACGCTCAAGCTTCTAGCTTCGGATACTGTGGTACTTCCTTTCTCTCCCTTCGAATTTCTTTGAAATTTTATACTCCCGCAATTCTGATGTTTTTAGCGCATCATGCCTTCCATAATAAAATTCTAAGTGTTTTGGGGGGATTAAATTTTAATTGGAGACAGCTTTGTAGATAAATTTGTTGATTGTTATGTCTTGCACCGATGCACGATGTTATGTATTGACAGCAATTGTGCCCAATTAGCAATTACTGATTATATGGTCTCATGGAATTTTAGAAACTTTCTTGTGTATTTAATTTTCCACTCAAAATTTATGCAGATGATGTAAACTATGATGTGAAGGTGTCTGGAGTTGAAATTAAACCAGACCCTGTTGTGCGTGCTAGGCCTGTCACCTTTAAGATTTCAGCTGATACTGGTAATGCCTCGCTTCTTTATCTTTATTTTATGATGGTTTTTTCCCCAATTTCGATCTTTCTTTCATGTAGGGACCAGGTTAGTAGCCTGATGTGGTGATTATGGGGAAAAACGAAATTATATTGTACATATGAACAGTTTTATATGTTAACAAAGTTTAGTTATACGTATAGCCTTATGTGGCATTACAGGGACAAATGACATTGTATTATACTTGGATCTTGTTTGGATAAATTTTTCCATAAGTACTTAAAAAGAAGGAAATAAGAAGGTAAAATGAATTGGATTTTTCGTATAAGCCAAAACCGACTTATACACTTCAGCTTACAAGTTTTTAGAAAAGTAAATGAAAACTTTATAGAAGTTAAAAGTGCATAACTTGATTTTAAGTTTTTAACTTATTGGAGAAGCTTAATTTATTTTGTCATCTCATCTTCTTTTTCTATATGTATTTAAAGAAAACTTTATCCAAACATGAGGTTATCTTGTTGTTTATCTTTGATGCAGGTGAAGCTATTTATGGTGGAAAGTGGGTAATTTCAGTTGCATACTTTGGCTTCGTTGTCCATAATGAAATCCGTGATTTTTGTGAGGAATTATCTTGTCCTGTTGCTAGTGGCAATTTTGTGGTTGCTCATAGCCAAAAATTGCCTGCATTTGCCCCGCCGGTTAGTTTCAATTTACCAAATATGAGCTTTTAGTAATGAAGCCAATCTAATATTTCACCCTTTCATGAAATGAAGTCTCCTTTTACATCTATATATAGAGCCCCTTAACACAAATGAATCTTAGCAATTACGGAGTAAGGACTACACTTAATTTTCTAAAGAGCATTATATTTGAGATAATATGCTGTATTCTTCAGCAGCAATGCATGTTCTTGGCCTTTCCTCTTCTCAACATGCGTTATTCACTCTTTAGTGCAAAATGTGATGTGCCCTAGAGTGTAGGAGCTTGTTTGGATATAAATACAAGTTTAGAAGAACTTTTGAAAGTTTTTTTTTTATTGAAAATAAAGAACTTTTTTCAGTAGATAAACTCTAAAAAACACTTCTTGTTTGTATCAAAATAGACTTTATGTCTACATCTAAATTTGGCTTGGAGTTTGCTTTCTTTCTCTCTTTTCCTCCTCCTACTGCTTTTTTTCATGGTTCTCTCTGTATCTTAATATTATTTTTTTGGCAGTTCTTACAATCATAATCTAAATTTTCTTTTGTTAATTCTTTTTAATAGTCTTTATGTGAACAATATGTTTTATATATTTATTTAACCTCCCACCTTTTTCTTTACTGGTGATGCATTTAACATGTGATTATACTTGAATTATCCGATTAAGGAATTTAGTTTTATTCTTCTTTCCGGATTTCTTCCTAAGCTTCTGAATCTCCATTTAGAATTCATGGAATTTCATGAAGTTTGTCTGGACTTGTAATCGTTAATAATTGCCCTATGGTTTGTGATAACTATCAGTAATTTAAACTCTGATAGATAAGTGCAATCAGTAATATGGAGGTATCTTGGAGTAGGTGTTTTTGTTAGTAAGGCCATGTTTTTGCAAATCTTGGACTGTACCCAAATAACCACTCAAGCTGGCTTTTGCAATAGCCACCCAACTACATGAGTTAATGCCTAGGTGTGCAGTACCGTGTTATTTATAGGCATTATTTATGGTAAGATTGGCAATTTGGCATTGCTTTTTTCTACGTTCAACTACAAATTATGATATTGTGTATAAGTTAGTTCAGGTCAGAGTCAGACCTATCTCTTATGTACTACTTATTGCAGTTGCTATTTTCTTTTCTTTAATGTCTCTGATATCTTGGTCAAGTTTGCATTATAATACCTCTTAAGGACTTATTTTCATTGAGTTCAAGTTACCTTGACAATATTTGTAGCTTCCTTAATTTTAAGGATGTTGATTGTCTTCGTGATGCTGTTTGGACTTGGCTTGTCATCAGTTTCCTTAATTATCTGTTGTGGTGATGTAAACTTTAATTTCCTGTACTCCTGTTTTCTTGCTTCAAGCATGCTTGTCTTTAATAACAGTTTTATCGGAAGGTAAACCTTTTCTATTTTTGAATTTGGAACAATATATTGCTGAAATGTGAGATCAATTCCTTGTCTTTAATGTTTGCAGGGCACCTACACCGTAGAGATGACACTAAAAAATGAGAAGAACGAGGCATTAACTTGCATCACCTTTAAATTCAAAATCGTTTTTGGATCTTTGGTGTGTGATGTATGAAGTGGCCGTCACTATAAGGATATAGGACTATAGGTTGCTACTTTGGCATTATTGTAAACTATTACTTGGTAAAAAAAGAAGAAAAAAAAATGACTTCAAGAAGCATGGTCATTATTGTAGATAAAAAAATATATGAAGAAACACGGTTATTAACTTACTATTGTTGCTTTACAATTCTTATTTTTTCAATCTATTTTTTTAGACTCACTTTATACTTGTATGAACAAGTGTATTGTGTCTTCAAGTAATAAATCATTGTCTTTAGGTAATAAATCGTTTCCACAGGGATTGTATGTTTGGCTATATGAAATCATTAACTACATGAAATTATAGTGAAATAATTAAAAATTAGAAAGAGAATTGATTTGAGGAAATTTCAAGATTCAGAATTTGAATTAGAAGTTTAGCAAATAATTAAAGTGGATTTAGTATCGGTTTAGATTGGATTAATTTTTTCATTGGAATCAAAAGTCGATCCAATCCAATAAAAATAATAATAATTTTTTTATTTTTCAATTTTTTTAATATTTGATTTTTTCAATTTAATTTATGTAATTTCATTAGACTGGGTTATAAACACTCCTAACTAGAGTATTTGTTTTTGTTGTAAACAATAGAACTCGGTAATCTTTCCAAAATCTTTTTCTGAACGAATAGGTTCACGTTTGCATTGGGAATCACATTTACTTATTAACTTTATCGAATGTTTTCTATGTGTATTTATGAAAAACTTAACATTTAACATTATGAATTAATAATACACCTTTAGAGCAAAAAAAAAATTGCATCGATTCTTTAGACCGAATTATAAGCAAATTGTAATCAAGTTAATTTATTTAATATTTTTAATTCAGAAATACCTTTAAGATTATAAATAAGAGTATTATTTATAATAAATGTAATTATTGATTAAGGATATTTTGAGAAAAGTAGTGTATATTTTATTTTAAATTATAAAAATTAAATATATTTAATTAATGTAACACTCTAAGTTGTAGGATGATATATTCATTTTAAGTTATTTTGTGTTATTAAGTTGAGTTGTTGTATTATGTGTTGAGGAACTCTATGATCTAAGGATTTTTTTAGAAGTTTTAGTAATGTTGGAAGTTTTTCTAAGCAAAGGATTAATTTGACCCCTAGATAGAGAATACATAAGGTCTTTGTTTTGAATAGTCTCATAAACTCCATTCTACATAACTTAGAGAAAGGATTTTAAAGAAGAGAACTTTGGTCAATGAGCTCCTAATACTCTAAATCTTCTCCTCTTCCTTTTCTAATTCTGATTGTAGTTGTATTGTTGTTGCATTCAGGTCAATAGGAGGTTTGAAAATCTTGTTGCTGACTTGAGTTAAGGAAAGCACAAACTTAGGAACATTAACCCTTTCTTTTTCTTCCTTAGTTAGCTTCAAATTCGAGGTGAGGAAAGTTGTATTTATTGTGTTTTGGATAAGTTGCTAGCTAATGAATGATTCTCGAGTTGCACATTGTGTGAAATTTCAAAGATTTGTGGTTGTGTAGATATATTCAAAGTTAAAAACATGTTGGAAATTGGAGTTTTGGGTTGTGAATGAAATATGTTGATTTGATGCGAGTTGATTGTTGCATGTTGGCTTTTGAGCTCGATTTGAGTTGCCTGTGTTGAGTAGAATCATTATTTTGTGTTGCATGTGTGGTTTTGGCTGAGTTTAAAGTGGAATAGTCAATTTTCGTAATCTGCATAAGTGTAGAACTCACATTGCGTCAAGTATGTCTTCAAGGCATTAACATGAGGCTCTATCTCAATCACGTTGAACACATGATAAGTGGCATCAAGCGTGAGGAGTGAGACTTGTCTCAAGTTGGATTGATGTCAGGCGCCAGTATAAGCATGGAACTTTGCCACACTAGACACGAGGTCTTAAGAGCATTTTCCTTATCCGTGTCGGGCAAGAGTTATGTAGTGTCAAGCATGGGCGAGGCAAATAATTCCTTGTCTGGATGGCGCCGAACATTGAGTGTGTGACATCAAGCATTGATTGCTGAAGGAAAACATGTTATTTGATTTGATGAATTATTGAATACTTATTGATAGAGTTGTTTGATGACTAAGTGAGGATGAATAAGTTACATGGATGATGTTGTATGTGATGATTGTGTTTGTGAGTTGTTAGTTGAAAGTTGAGATGAATTATAGATTATGTGGTTGTGTAGTTGTGTTGAAATCGCTATATGCATGACATTGTTGTATTGTTGAGATGTTGACGGTTGAGAATGCTTTGGGCATTTAGGCATGGTATTGTTGAGATGTGATGACCAACTTAAGACTAGAAGAGAGGTTTTAAAAGTTTCATATCACATTGTGTGAAAATTGTGTTATGGTGCTTTAAGGGCCCAAATTTGTTGAAAAGCTTTATTGGGAAGTTAACCTTTGAAGTGAATAGTTGTGTTGAATAGTTGACCCTTAGGCGGGGCGAGCTCTGGCATGTTAGCTCGATTCAACCCAAATTTGACGGGCCAATGGTGGGTCAGGCTAATCCATTTTGTCATCGCTACAATTAGTCAGTTACAATCATATGGCCTTAGGTAGTTATAAATGTCTACACATTAGAAGTCAAAAATATTCTACTTGGAATAATAGTTAATACATTCTTTAATTTTTCCTATTAAGTTAAAAAATACTTTATCACGATCAACTATTGAAGTGTTTCTTCAATTGGGTTTAAAATAAATATTTAACACTTTATGCATTACCCAAACTTCTTCAAATTTTACATAACTACATGAAAAATCATACTTGATAATACACTTAGCAAGTGCATGTGTATAAGTATTAGGATCAAATTTTCATTACTTCAATAAACTAGTTTTGTCATCTAACATGACTCTAACATCTTAGTTATTATAAATCCAATACATTTAATAATATAACGTCTTAAATAATTAGTACCTAAAACGATAATTAACATTGACTCTAAGCTTGTAACCATAATTCTACAAGCGAATACAGATGAGTGAAGTATTATTACTACTATTATATTTTATTTTGTTGTTTTATAATACATTACAAATTTATATTGACAATAATGATAGTTTAAATTATTTTCCTTATTTGTTTAATAAGCCAACTTGTAAACCTATAGGTCATGCTGGCCTAAGCATATTTGGCATATCAGACTTAATGAATTGAATCAAAATAACTTAATTATTTAATCACATTTTTTAAGACTCAATCAAACCTTATTTATAAAAGTCAAATTCAAATTGACAACTATATATATATATAATGTCCCCTAATGTGATTAATACCTTAAGAGTTTACTTTATATTGTTTTACATATATTAAATGTTTCCTTCTATTTATTTTTATTTTTGAGGTTTTATGAAATTGCATACATATCTCCTAAATTTTATATCCTTTCACTATTTTTTTAATTATTATATTTTGATTTAATACTCCTTAATTATTTAAAAGTATTATATTGACATCTCTTATATATTACATTAACTCTCTTGTTTTTTTTTTATTTAAAAAATACATTTTGACATCCGGTAAGAAAAATTATTGTAAAAGTTGAAAAAATATAAGAATTGTATGCCATATGACAAAACCTTATTGGTATTAATGTAACTTTCTTTCTCTCTCTCTACTTAAAAAGGATAGTATATGAATAATTTGAATTCAATACTCTTGCACCTATATATAAGTAAAAATAGTTAATTTGACACAAATTAAGAAATATATTTAATTTTTATTATTTTGCATAAAATTTACACTAAATTTTTTAAAATATCTTTAATCACACTTATGATAAATATTATTTTTATTTATTATCATACGATACTTTTGGATTAAGAACATTAAATAAAGTTGATTTAATTAAAATTTAATTTTATTTAAATTTTAAAATATTTAAGTATTTTTTGATTTTATATATAAGTCTAGAGAGAGTAGTCATTTAAATAAATGAATCCAATACTTTACTATCTTTGGCATCAGATAAAAAAAAGTACATTAATTAAGAAAATTAATTAATATCATTTAATTTAAATAAAATTTATTTCTCTAAATTATACTTGATTGATGTTATTAATTGAAGAATAAAAAAGAGTCACCAAAAATATAATCTCAGATAAACGAATAGGTATTTTGAAAATTTGTTAAGAGTGATATTAATTGAAGTTTACTTATATTTTAAACCAACTTATATGAGTTTTTTTTATTCGATATCAGAGGAAATATTTTCAAAAAAATAATTAAGTAATGAAATTCATATTTTGATTATTTTCATCACAAATAAAAATTATATTCCATATATTTTATCTCGCTTTATTTTATTTTCCATATCATTTAATTCCATTTTATAAAAAAAAAACAATGTAAAAAATACTTTTTAACAAATATTTACAATATAAGAATGAGCAACTTTTAGATTATTTAATGGGATAGTAAAATGGTTAAATATTATTAGATTCTTATAGAAAAGTATTTTACATTGATAATACAAATAAATTAAACTCTAAAAATATTGTTTTTTCAAAAAGTATACAAATAATTAATTTTAATTTAAATGTCATAATAAATGGTTGTCAATTTATAACTTATCAATGATAAAATATTTCACTTTTATAATAACTAATTTGTCTTTTTATTTTTATTTTAAAAGTAAAATTCTATATTTACTAAAAAAATATCAATAATTAAAAATTGATTTTGTTTTATAATATAATTTATTTATTATAATTTAAAATATAATTTATATGTTGACAATTATTTATTTATTACTAAATTTAAATATAACATA